ATTTGCTTAACAATTGCAGGATTCAATTTACAACCATGTGATTCACTTAACGAATGTCATAAAAACAGTTCAGAAATCAAGTCCGGTCACATGGATGCCTTAATAATAGCAGCAGACATATGCCGCTTCCAAGGCTTTTACAACCCAGTGTATTGCCCGCCCCCCCCCCCCCCCCCCCACAACAATCTAAGTCCTCATTTTACCGATCTCGGAGGATCGAAGGCTAAGTCAACCTTTTAGCCTGGTGAGGATCGAATTGCTGAACTGCAGGCAGCAGAATTAGCCTGCAGTGTTGCATTCTAAAGGGGGATGCAGTGGCTCAGGGGCAAAGACGCTGAACTTGTCGATCAGAAAGGTTGGCAGTTTGGCGGTTCGAATCCCTAGCGTTGCATAATGGAGTGAGCTCTCATTACTTGTCCCAGCTTCTGCCAACCTAGCAGTTTGAAAGCATGTACAAATGCAAGTAGAAAAATAGTTGGTGGGAAGGTAAGAGCATTCTGTGCACCTTTGGCGTTTAATCATACTGGCCACAGGATCACGGAGACGTCTTTGGACAAAACTGGCTCTTTGGCTTTGAAACAGAGATGAGCACCGCCCCCTAGAGTCGGGAGCGACTAGCACAGTGTGAGAGGAACCTTTACCTTCACTGCATTCTAATTACTGCGCCAGCACCGCTCAACAACCGCAATGACTTACAACCAAAAATTCCAGTCCCTGTTATGGTCTTAAGCCGAAGACTGCCGTATGAGCCTTCCGAGTTCTTTAATCAATTAAATTATTTGAAGAGGAGACATACACCCACAAGGACAAACCAAAAGACAAAAAACCCCATACTGAGCGCCATCTTACCCGAAGTGCTGTGGTAAACTGTGCTTCTGCGTTGTCCATGCAGTTCACAGAAATACAATACAGCCCCTTCAAAGGAAAACAGCAGGGAAAGTTCAAGGTATTTTTGGGTTTTAGGAATGAAGACTCGGCGGAGGAAGTTGCACAACAGTACAACAAATCAACAGTAGATCTATGTTCCTAGTGTGGATCTACGTTCCTAGTGTGGATCTATGTTCCTGGTGTGGATCTATGTTCCTAGTGTAGATCTATGTTCATTTTCGATTTGCTTTAATAGTTAGGAATCTAACTTCCCTTCCCACCTGAGAACGTAGCAGACATTCCAGAAGAGAAATACAGGTAGTCCTTCATTTACAACAGTTCATTTAGTGACTGTTCAAAGTTACAACAGTAGTGAAAAAAGAGACTTGGGACCTTTTTTCACACAACTCTTGCAGCATCCCCATAGTCATGTGATCAAAATTCAGGCACTTGGCAACAGACTCATGTTTATGACGGTTACAATGTCCTGGGGTCATGGGATCACCTTTTGTGGCCTTCTGACCAGCAAAGTCAATGGGGAAAGCCAGATTCACTTAATGACCGTGTGACTAAGTTAAGAACCCCAGGGATCCACTTAACAACTGTGTCAGGAAAAGTTGTAAAATGAGGCAAAACTCACTTAACAAATGTCTCACTTAGCAACAGAAATTCTGATCTTACTTGTGGTCATAACTCGAGGACTACTCGTAAACATATTCCTTCTCTTTGTAACATGGCATTAAGCTTTGGAATGATTTCACCCTGCTTTTTTTTCCTCTCCACCCAAATAATTCATTTAAATCCTTCTGTTGTCAGTCTTGCTCAATAAAGTCAATCACAGCAATTCATATCTGCTGCTGCTTCTTCTTTACGTAGCTTCAATGAACATTCATGATGTTAGATCCAAATTTTCCTATTCCTGTCCTTTTACACTTATCCTCAACTTGATCTCAAGGTTGTCAACTTGTCTTGAGGGGAAACTGATGCATTTTGGCAATAGAAATGTTGCTTTTGTGTGTACATACAGCACAGATAACTGAGGGAAACCATCCACATCCATCTCTGCTGACAAGGATTAAGGAGGATTTATTGAAGGCCACTTCATCTATAGATCAGGGGTGGGAAACCATGGCCCTTTGATGACTGCTGGACTTCAACTCCCAGAATTCCGGAGCCAGCTGACTCAGGAATTTTGGGAGTTGAAGTCCAGCAGTCATAAAAGGGCCATGAGTCCTCACCCAAGATTTACAGTAGTGGCCAAAATTGTAGAAACCTTTTGGAAAAAGTATATTTTTGAGGTTTGTTGGCTAATAACAAACACTTTTATTTTGGAGTAGTACCACAAAATTATATATCAATGGAAAGATAATTTAATCACAATGTAATGCAATAGCTTTTATGAAGGATTTGCTATTAGAATAGCAGTTATAAAGAAGAAGAAAATGGAAGGCGTAGAAAAAATGAGATATACAAAAATTATCACTAGGTCATTTAATACTTAGTTGGGTAACCTTTAGCATGAATTACGGCCTTACAGCGTCTTTCCCTGGAGTGAACCAAGGTTTTTGGTTCTGCAGCTGTTATAATGTGAAACCAAGATTGAAGGATTACTTCTATTAACTGGGTTTTACTGCTTCTGACTAACAAGTTTGTTTAATCAGCTCCATAGATTTTCAGTTGGGTTAAGGTCTGGGGTATTCCCAGGCCATTCCAGCAGTGGGATATGATTGTCTTGAATGGCCAAGTTAGAGAGTGATTCCTCCCCTATTTATGCAGGGACAACTGAATTGTAGAGGTAGCCTTTGTCTTACAAGCATTTGTTTAGTAACCGTTCAAAGTTACAACGGTACTGAAAAAAGTGACTTACAACCTATCCTCACACATACTACCGTCGCAGCATCCCTTGGGTCACATGATCAAAATTCAAGCACTTGGCATTCGGCATGTATTTACAATGCTGCAACATCATGCGATTGCCGTTTGGAAATCTTCCAACAAGCGAAGTCAACGAGGGAAGCTGGATTTGCTTAACAAGGGCATGATTAACTGCAGTGATTTGCTTAACAACCATGGTGTTAAAAAAAAGGCTGTAAAATGGGATGAGACTCACTTAACAGTTGCCTCACTTAGCATTGGAAATTCTGGTCCCAGTTGTGAATGCACATCAAGAACTACCTGTACTTGTTACTAAAGCCTTGTGGGGCTCCACTTATCTGAAAACTGGCAGCTTTTCAATGAATAGAACTCGAGTTTCCTACACTGAATAAAAACCTGGATTTACATGCATCACGGTATGCTTTGGGAACTGGGAAGTTATACTCACCAGAAGGGCATGTAGCTGGGCAGCATGATTAGAGAAGAGCCTGGGAGACTGCTGACAGAGCTGGCATACCTGTGAAATCTTGGTGTAAACAGAAGAGAAGCTGACTTAATATCCTAGGTGATTCACAACCATTCTTCTGACTTACCGAAACCTAGAAGGATTCACTTCCTTGCTTTGCCTTCCTCTTTTCTGATACTATCACAGATTCCAGTTGCACTTTTGGGATTGCTTAATTATTTTGTAAAATCACTTTTCTGTTATGGCAACACCTGTCATTGAGCCAAGGTGGCGCAGTGGTTAAATGCAGCACTGCAGGCTACTGCTAGATCAGCAGGTCAGCGGTTCAAATCTCACCGGCTCAGGGTTGACTC